CCCTGACGCGCCTGACTGGCAGTTCTACGACCCAGCCACGCGCCGTGTCTTTGCGTCTCAGGACGTCACCTTTGACGAGTCCGTCCCCTTTTACCGTCTCTTTCCCTACCGCACTGCTCCTCGCCCCCCCCCCCGCCGCTCTTTCTTGCTCAAGGTCCTCCCCAGGTAGACCCCCTCCCCGCGCCAGGTCCTGCTCCTTCAGGTGTTTCTCAGGTAGACCCTCCCGTGCCTGCGCATGTTGAGGTCACTGGTGACTCAGGTCTTGTTGGGGGTGGTCCTGCTCGGGGTGCTGTCTCTGGGGGTGCTGAGCCTGGGGGTGCGGAGCCTGAGCGTGAGGAGCCTGGGGGTTGCTGAGCCTGGGGGTGCGGAGTCTGAGCGTGAGGAGCCTGGGGGTGCTGAGCCTAGGGGTGCTGCGCCTGCGTGTGAGGAGCCTGGGTGTGCTGAGCCTGGGGGTGCGGAGTCTGAGCGTGAGGAGCCTGGGGGTGCTGAGCGTGGGGGTGCTGAGCTTCCGTGTGAGGAGCCTGGGGGTGCTGAGTCTGGGGGTGCTGAGTCAAGGGGTGCTGGGACTGCTGCTCAGCGGTCTCCTTGGAGTAGCCGTCTTCGTGCGCGTGTGCCTCTCACCTCACAGCAGCTGCACGACTGGTACGGTCGCCGTCAGGGTCGCGCTTCTGGAGCTCGGGGCTCTGCTGCTGGAGGTACTTCTACTGCCGTCACTGGAGCTGGGAGTGGTGCTGGTCCCGGAGGTGCTCGTACTGGAGGTACTGGAGCTGCTGGGGCTGGAGGTGCTGCTGAGCCTGAGGGTACTCCTGGTGGAGACCCTGGGTCTGGGGGTACTGCTGCTGGAGACACTGAGGCTGGTGACCCTGGGCCTGGAGGTGCTGGATCTGGGGGTGCTTCTACTGAGGGTGCTGGAGCTGCTGAGGGTGCTGGAGCTGCTGAGGGTGCTGGAGCTACTGAGGGTGCTGGAGCTGCTGAGGGTGCTGGAGCTGCTGGAGGTGCTGGAGCTGCTGAGGGTACTGGAGCTGCTAGAGGTACTGGAGCTGCTGGGGGTGCTGGAGCTGCTGAGGGTGCTGGAGCTGCTGAGGGAGCTGGAGCCGCTGGTGCTGGTGGCGCTGCGCAGCCACGCCTGTTCTTTGCTCCGCCTTCTCCGTCGTCTCTGCCACCGCCTGCCTCCGTGCTTCGCCAGGTTCTTAGCCTCCCGTCGTCTACTGGTCTTCCGTTACAGCCTGGCTCACCCCTGCCTGCTCCTTCTCCTTCTCCTTCGCCAGGTTCTCCGCCTGTCTTCAAGGCTCGTTACGTTGCTCGAGGTTTCAGTCAGCGAGAGGGACAGACCTTCTCCCCCACCCCGAAGATGACCACTGTTCGGGTGCTGCTGCACGTTGCTGCTCAGCGTGACTACGAGCTTCACTCTCTTGACTTCAGCACAGTTTTCTTGCAGGGCAGCCTGCACGAGGAGATCTGGCTGCGCCGCCCTCCTGGCTTCACTGGGTCGTTCCCTCCTGGTACCCAGTGGAGCCTCCGGCAGCCAGTCTACAGTCTCCGTCAGGCGCCGCGTGAGTGGCACGACACACTGAGGACGACACTTGCGGCTCTTGGGTTTTCTCCGTCGACTGCTGACCCGTCGCTGTTTCTGCGCACCGACACTTCGCTGCCGCCGTTCTACATCCTCGTGTACGTCGACGACCTTGTCTTTGCCACTGCTGACACTGAGGCTCTCGCCCTGGTGAAGTCGGAGCTGTAGAAGAGACACACTTGCACAGATCTGGGTGAGCTACGCAGTTACCTTGTCTTGCAGATCACCCGGGACAGAGCACGCCGCACCATCACACTGACTCAGTCACACATGGTGCAGCAGGTCCTTCAGCGCTTCGGCTTCACCTGGTCCTCAGCACAGGCCACTCCTCTGGCTACAGGTCACTCGCTCTCAGCTCCACCTTCGGACGAGTCCGTAGAGCCGAGTGGTCCTTACCCAGAGCTAGTGGGCTGCCTCATGTACCTGATGACCTGCACTCGTCCTGACCTTGCGTACCCTCTTGGCCTTCTGGCTCGCTACGTGGCTCCTGGTCGGCACCGAAAGGTGCACATGGATGCTGCTAAGAGGGTACTACGCTACTTGTGCAGTACATCGGGCATGGGGCTTGTGCTTGGAGGACGGGACGACGTTGTCCTCACTGGTCACTCAGACGCTTCTTGGGTTGACGACCAGGCTACGCAGCGGTCGTCACAGGGTTACACCTTCAGCCTTGGCTCTGGCTCTGTTTCTTGGCGTTCTACACGCTCGTCTTCCGTTCTCGGCTCCAGTTGTGAGGCTGAGATCTACGCCACAGCCATGGCTGCATAGGAGTTACGCTGGCTCACCTACCTGCTGACCGACCTGGGAGAGCGGCCTCGTTCTCCTCCAGTACTATACATCGACAACAAGGCCGCCATTGCCTTGTGTCAAGAGCACAGACTGGAGCACAGAACGAAGCATATCGCTCTGCGTTACTTCCTGGCTCGAGAGTTGCAGCAGCGTGGTCAGCTTTGTCTTGCTTACATGGCCACTTGGGCCAACACTGCTGATATTTTCACCAAGGCACTTCCGCCTGGTGATCATCAGCGCTTTTGTACCTTGTTGGGCCTTGTGCCTACGTTTCCTCACTTACTGTAGGCTTTACCTGTACTGTGATCTATATATATACGTGCATGCTTACACCTGCTAGGTTGTGATCACTGTATTGCTTGTGCTTTTATAACTGTGCATGTGAACTGGCCTTGTGGCCTCTTGCTTGTGCTCAGAGTGTGTGGTGACTTTGTGATCCACCCTGAGCTGTGCTTTGTTTCTTCTCTTGACTGGTCTTGTGACCATTGTCCTTGCTCTGGCTATCCCCTATTTCGCCGATGGGGGTGTGTCAAACTATATGCTTATTGTTTAGTTAGGCTGTATTGGGGCTAGCTTTAGGGGGTACACAATTTCCCTCGACATTCTAGTCTTGTACCCACCTTGACCTAATACAATCACTCTTGCCTAGGTATTCTAACATTACTCTGTCTGGATCAGTGTTGAGAACTCATTAATTCTGAACTTTCAATCATCACACGGTGACAGGTCTGAAATCACCCTGAAATCAGGGTAATTACCCTGATAAAAATAGCCCGGTGTCACTTCGACTCGTCTGACTCCTCTGCTTCATCCTCGTTACTGTTAGATTCTGTTACGTTCAGGAATGCATTTCCAAACACTTCATATCGTAACAGTAATTCGAAAAAAGTCTTTATACTAAATGTTATACCTCTTAAGAAAGTATTAAGCTTACTGGTTGTTTCACTGTATAAAACACTATTCGTAGTGTTTTCTGGTTCAGACTGGCGGACTCGTTATTGATGACATCATCATCACATAAATCCCCTTTTTACGTTTGGGCTGACGGCGAGCTGAGCTGACCCCTTTTGGCTGGGGAAAACATTCGTGCTGCTGATGTGGCTCAACTACTCGGGGATCTTTGGCCAACCCTGGGCAGTCGAACACGCGTTTCGGCTTCTGGGTGGTCGGTCCGTGGGACCGCGAAGTGGGTTGCGACGTGCAATCGTGATGGACGATGTACAAGCTGGTTATATCGTGGTGCGAAATAGCAATCCTTCGCCAGGACGGCATCACAAACTCGAGAGGGGGTGTGCCAATGTTTCTCGCGAACGCTTGATTGTTTCTGAAACGGTTCGCCTGAGGAAGAATTGGTAACCCCATATGCACAGTTGCCCCATCAATTCCACGGACATGTGTGGAAGTGTGTTCGTGCTGATTGAGAGGATAGCGGCTCGGCTTTGCAATTGCACTTTTCGCCCCGAAGAGCACACATCTCAGCATTCAGTAATCTGCCACATTGCATCGGGCCTGCACACGAGCACAGCTTGATGCACACTTTCAGTCCTTGCCTTTCCATCACCCCCATGAACATTTTATGGCGCCATTGTGCACTGGTTGAAGCTTTAGCAACATTTCACTGGTTCGACTTGGGACGGCGCGTGCAACTGGGCCTTAGAACTAGTCTTTGCGACCCTACTCGATCTCAGCACTCGTGATTTCTCTAGGCTACGTTTGGCCTAACTTATCACACTCTGATGTCGACGTAGCTTCTCCCTCCTGAAGCTCCCGTGGGGCTAGTTTTTGGGACATTACTCGATCTCGGCCCTTCTGATTCCAATCTGAGGAGTTTTTTGGCCTCACGTATTGCTCTCTGATGCCGACCTAGCCTCTCCCTACTGAAACCCCCTGGAGCACTCGCAAGCAGCTAGCCATGGGTGTGTCACAGCGCACACTCCCACAGAATGGCTTTGCCACACTGCAGCTTCTGCTCCTTCTTCCCCTCATCCTCCTCTTAAGCCCACAAGGTAGTTATCTAGTAAGAGATGACATGACGCATAAAGACATGCTCATCACTTCCTGTCACTACGTCAGCTACTTCTGAATGCGCTGCGTGAAAATCCGAACCTCAATGCCTCTCCCACACCAGGCCATCCTAATTCAGCTTCGATTTCTTTGTCTCCGTGAACTGTCACATGCAGCATTTGCGACGCGCTATTTTGCTCCTTCCGTGCCGGCATGTATATACGACTTTGAAATCGGGAGATTCGAGCTGGATCCGTTCTGGAGCACAGGGTGCGGCCACACTCTACCCTCTCCCGTGCTTTTCTTCCTTCGTTTTATCGCCGTATTATTTCCCTTTTCCTCTGCTAACTGGGTGGCTTTTCCAAAAAGGCTCGCCTCTGTTCACTCGGCTCCACATCCTTATAATCTCAGTTCGTTCCAAAGTCTGCGCTTCCCAGGTGCAAATCCTTCCCCTACGCCTCACAAACACACCGCAAAGCACGCCATACAGCACGCCGCACAGTACGCCACCTATCCTTAACATAAGAACTGTACCCGCGCGGCGTCACCGCGCATCCGTCTTCCCTTTTCCCCACCTCTCAGTCGTTCGCTAGAGCCATGGGACGCGTGGGCGCCAGCGGACGGCGCGCTAGCCATGAACAACAACTGCGCGTACCTGCTCGACTCGCACTGCCGGGTCCACCTGTCCAGTAAGCACCTCCATGCATCATAAACGTGTCAGCCAGATCACGCACGTGTGAGCCTGCGGGGCCCGCTATGCCTGTGTAAATGGTCGCTCTATTGTTTTGATCGCTATTCTTTCCTCACCTCCCTCCGCCTCCCTTTCTTCATGCCTCCCTCCCTCCCTGCATCCCCGCACTCCGCGACTACCGCAGACCCATGCACTTCGTTCAAGCGCTGTGATCCCTCGCCGCAGTGGGCGGCAAATGTTGTCGTCACGCGCACGACCAATTCCACAGTGCGACCCCTTCCCGCCAAGGTTCCGAGCGGCTCGGCTCTGGCGACCAGTCTTAACAGCGCGGACGCGGGCGTTAAACCCGTGCTAGTGAGCAGCACGGTTAACGTGCGAACAGCAACATCAGGAGCCGTAGAAACGGTGCTGGAAGTGACGGAGTTGATTCCGGCGTGGATGGCGCAGGGCCGTGCTAAGGTGGCGGGCGGGAGCGAATTTCCGCGGAAGGAAAGCGCGGAAGGAGATAATAGGAAAGAGGGGGGGAAGCGAGGGGGAGGGGCCGTATACGTGGGGAGTGAAGCTCGAGGGGACCGGGGGCTGATGGAAGCTGGAGCGGATGATAATTTTGGCGGCGCGAATGGCAACCCTATGGCTGACGTGGACAGGACGAAAGAAGCGGAACAGCCTATTCTGCTCTCCTCGTACGTTGCCGCGATCAGCGGGGGCGGGGCTTTCCCCCAGGTGGGAGATACTGCGGGGCACGCGCAAACGGGGGGTGTTGGCGCAAGGACAAGGCGCGCCGTGGGAGGTGCGCAGGTCGCTAGCGCGGGAAGAGAGGTTGGGGCCGCGGACTACGGCGGAGAGGACCGCGCGGTGGATGAGTATCACGGGGGGGGTGACGACACGGGGCTGCTGGTGGCGGAAGTGCCGCAAGCTGATCGCGACGGCGACAGCGATGGCGACGGCGACAGCGACGGCGAGAGCGATGCCAACGGCGGTTCTGAAATTGACCAAGGGAATGTACCCGGTTACCTTCGGAATACCGATGGATTTCCGGACGGGGAGCAGGAGGAGCAAGAGGCGCAGGGGGAGGAGTTCGGGGATATGAGCGACGCGGCCGCCGTGCGAACTTCTTCCACGTTCGCGCCCAACCCTCGCCGAAGCGGCACCAGCTTAGGCACGGTGCATCCCAGGCCTAACTTCCGAGCCAAGCCACTGCTAGGGAGCAAGGGTGGTCCCGTGGGCGCATCTGCCGGTTCGTCCGTTGGTTCGTTGACTGCTCCGGGTGATGTTAACTCAGCCGCGCCGAGCCGCAAGCAGGAGCAGCAGACGCAGCAGCAGAAGCAAACACTGGTCCCTTCAACCACACCCTCCCCAACCAAATCCACCAATCCGTCATCTCACCTCCCCAAACGCATTCCACCGAAAAATCCGGACGATCCTCTTGGCAGTGAGCCCGATTTCACTCTTCCCTCCGCTCCCACGTCCCCCGCACCTCCCGCCGCAACTCCCGCTCCGCGGGCGCCGCGCACGCCCTACCCCGCAACGCCGTCGCCCCCCGCACGCGCGCCGGCGGGCGGAGGGGGGAATGCTTCCGCCGACCCTGATTCGGGTTTCAGCGACTCGTCGGATCAGCAAAGAGCGCCGTCAAATCCGCCGCAAACCGCGCCAAACGCAACCTCCCCCAATCGCAATGCCTCGAAGAACGTACCACGCGTTCCCTCCCGCCCCGCCACGACGTCCCCCTCCCCTTCTGCCTCGAGTTCCCCCTCTCCCCGCGTCCCCTCCTCGTCGTCGTCCCCGTCGCGCCGCCCCGCTATGGTGCTACGCGTTACCGTTACAAGGTTGGTCGCGGCGGGAGTCACGGCGTACGAGTGCGACCCGTTCCCCGCGTGTCTCTTCAAAACTCCGACTTGCACGGTCGCGGCGGGAGTCACGGCGTACGAGTGCGACCCGTTCCCCGCGTGTCTCTTCAAAACTCCGACTTGCACGGCGCGCGCGCAATCCGCCCCGACGCAGGCCTCCGCGGCCTCCGCAGACCCAGCGGAAGCAGAGGTGATATTGGGAGCGGAAGCGGAAGAGGACACTCCCGCGGAAGAGGATATTCCCGCAGAAGCTGGGGATGCGGGGGAAACGGAGCGGCTGGATGGTCACCCTAGCGAGGTCTCGTATGGGTGGCTCGACGAAGCTCGATTAATTAGCAAACACGACGCCGGCGGCAATCCCGGTGTGACGGTCCAGAGCGTTGAGAACGCTGCCGGCGGTCACGGCGCCAATGTCGGGGGAGCTGGGGATGCGGATGGGGAGGGGGAGGAGGGTGGCGTGCAGTGGGTGTCGGTATCAGATTATATTCCTAGTATCGGAGAAGTTAAAAGTGATGACTATGGCAGCGGCGGCGGCGGTGAAGGCGGCGGCGGTGAAGGCGGCGGTGGTATTGGTGCCCCCAGTGGGGTGGGGCAACGAGCAGGACGGTCCATAGCGGTTGCTGCTTCGTACTCTCCAATCTCTCCTCTCTCCCCTGCATCTCCTGCCCCCTCTGCCGCTTCTTCGCCGGCTACCGCCTCTGCTGGCGACAGTAACCACGGCGACGACGAGCGCGACAACAACGAGGATGATGGTAATGATGATGACGACAATGGCGGCGCGGGAGAGGAGGACGAGTTCGGGTGGAGAGGCGAGAACGGCCAAGGAATCGTGTCCTTCTTGGCTCTCGGCAAGGGCACCGCCTTCCGCGCCCGCACCAACCCCGATGCGCGTTCCGCGGATGCCTCCTCCTCGTCCTCCGCTGCTGGCGGCTCTCGGCGGGAGTCAGGCGTGCAAGCCTCGTCTGTCGCTGCTGCTGCCGCCCCTGCGTTTGGCAACACCAGTGCCGGCAGCAGTGGCCCCACTCCTCCTACTGACAGCGAGGGTGAGAGCGAGGGTGCGGGTGTGAGTGACCGGGCTGACCCGCTAAGCCCACAACAGCAGGACCCCACCTCCCCCGACCCTCTTGCTGCCTTCGAACCTGACTCGCAGTCAGATACTGATTCTTACTCCGACTCTACCGCTCATGCTGGCGTTGACTCTGCTGACTCTGGCGTTGACTCTGGCGTTGACTCTGCTGACTCTGGCGTTGACTCTGCTGACTCTGGCGTTGACTCTGCTGACTCTGGCGTTGACTCTGCTGACTCTGGCGTTGATTCTGGCGTTGACTCTGGCGTTGACTCTGACTTGGAGAGGAACGTCAACTCTAGCTCTTCATCCAATGACTCGGACCCTCTCTCGGATTACAGCACCTGGGATGGTGACTCGCAGGTTAACTCAGACACGCAGCAGCAGCCTTACAATGCCGAGGATGACTCTAACGCGTACAGCCCTTCTGACCCTGACAGCCCTCCTGGTACCACTAACAGCCCCTCTGATGAATCAGCTGCCACCGATGCTGATGCTGATGCTGATGCTGATGCTGATGATGCTGATACCGACTCTGATACCGATGCTGATGCCAATGCTGATACCGATGCTGATGCCGATGCTGATACTGATACTGGTGTTGATGCTGATACCGATACTGCTGTTGATGCCAGTGCTGCTGCAACACCACCCAAGTCTTTCTTCACGCGCTCGTCGCGACCACCACCGTCAGTAGCACCGCCATCTCTGCCCTCCTCCTCGCCCTCCTCCGTGCCATGGCTCTCCTCCCGCTCCACCACCACTCTCGGCTTCAAGCCTCGCCTGCCCACCCCTCGCCCCACCTCCTCCCCCTCCTCCTCTCCGCCTGCCACCAGCCCTGCTGAGAAAAGCAACAGCGGCGGCAGCAGCACTGGTAGTGCTGGCAGCAGCAGCAGCAGTAGCAGCAGCAGCAGCGGCAGCGGCAGCGGTGGTGGCGGCACCACCAGCGGGTTCAAGCCCAGAACCGGACCAGCAACCGAGAGGCTTCGGAGCGACAGAAGCAGCAGCAGCAGCAGCAGCAGCAGCAGCAGCAGCAGGAGCGGCAACAGTGGTGGCAGTGACAGCAGCAGCAGCAGCAGCAGCAGCACGGACGAGGGCGGGAATGCGGCGAGCATGTACAAGTCCAAGATGAAGGCTCGGAAGGCCAACCCTACCGCCCCACACCGGGGGGACACGGGTCGCACGTCCCAGCCCAAGCCCCGACCTTCCCCTCCCCCCTCCTCCTCCTCGCGCTCTCCCTCCCGCAACAGCGGCAGCAGCGGCGGGGGCAGCAGCGGGGGCAACAAGATGCAATCGAAACAACCCAAGGCATCCCCATCATCATCACCGTCCTCTCCCTCCTCTCCCTCCTCTCCGTCCTCTCCCTCCTCTCCCTCCTCTCCCTCCTCGCCCATCCCGCGCACCGGCAACAGCATGCAGCCCTTCTCCCCGGGGAAAGAATCAGACCTGCCATTCCGCTTCGCGCGCGGCCAAGAGTACCTCGTGCCCGTGCCCCACATCCCCCCGGACCGCCAGTTCTCTGTCAAGCGGTACGGAGCGGTGGGGGACGGTAAGAAAGACGACACGCGGGCGTTTAAAGCGGCGTTTGTGGCGGCATGCAAGCTGGGTCGGTTGAGTTCGCGTCCCACGGCCGTGGTGGTGCCTAGCGGGCGGTACAGCGTGGGATATCTGCGATTCGTGGGGCCGTGCGGATCCCGACTGGTGTTCCAGGTGAGCAGTGAGGCTTGGAGTGAATGAAATGAGGGGTCTTCAGGCGCGAGAGAGGCTTGAGGTGAAAGGGTGTGGGGATTCAAGGACTACTGGTGTTGGAGCCATTGCCTTTAGTGCTGGTGTTGAAATCCCAAAAGCACCCCTCCCTTCAATCTCCAACCAGCGCACAACCCCGTCCCTCCTCCCCCTGCGACGACCCCCTTGACGACCCAGCTTCCGCCTGCCCTCATCCTCCCCCCATCCACCCTCACCTCCACCCTTCCGTTTCCCCCACGCCTTTTCCCCCTTGAACAAACCCCACCGCTGTGAGCAGCTGGATGGCACCATACTGGGACCGCACGACCCCTTCCACCCGCCGGTGCAGCTGGGAGTGGTGCACTTCCTGGGCGTCAACGGGCTCATGGTGTCGGGCCGCGGCGCCATCGACGGCCGCGCGCAGCGCTGGTGGCAGCTGTGGAACGCGCACCGCCTGCCCGGGTCGCTCAGGCGCCCATACCTGCTTGTCGCCGACATGTGCCACAACTCGGTGGTGCAGGGGATCACTCTGCGGTGCGTGGGGGTGCAGACGTGGTGACACGGGGTGCGGAGGGGTATGGGTGCTTTGGGACCACTCTCAGTTTGGTGAACCGTGAACCAGAGGGCCTGGGATATTGGAGCTGCCTTTGAAAACACTCCTCTTTCCTCCCTCTTCCCCACACGTCAGCAACCCGGGCACGATCCACCTGGAGATAGCATCGAGCAACTTCGTGAAGGTGGTGAACGTGACGACGGACAGCCCCTCAGAGAGCCCCAACACCGACTCCATCCACATCACCCGCTCCACACAAGTGGCTGTGCAGCGCTGCACGCTGCATGGAGGTGCGTGCATGCGTGGGTGGGTGGGGGTGGGTGGGTGGGTGTGTGTGTGTGTGTGTTGAATGATTGAAGGTGAGAGAGAGGCATGGCGCTTTAAGTCTCTCGGAGTGCCCCAGCACAGACTCGATCCATATCACACACAGACTGCAAGTGGCAGTGCAGCGCTGCACCCTACCCACCACCAACATTCTGAGTCGACTCAGAATTCACCACCGTACCCACCACCCTGCAGCCACCACCGTCCCCTTACGACAATGCGTCTCTCTGTGCGCGTCTCACCATGTTTGCTCCATGGCACGATGGCAGGCGACGACAACATAGTGATAGAGGACGGCACGTCACACGTCCTCATCTCCGACACGTGGTGTGTGGCCGGCCATGGCATCAGGTGCGCGGGCAGGGACGGGTGTGGGAGGGTGGCAAGGTGGGAACACTGATATTTGATTCACATGGACTTCAGAATCACATGGTGTGTGGCCAGGCACGGGATCAGGTGCGCCTGGGAGCGCGGGCAGGCGCGGGCAGCCTGTGGTTTGGTTTGAAGTGATGTCGTTAGATTTCAAAAGTACCCTCTGGTGAACCGAGGGTCTATGTTTTATGCGCCTCAAATTTTCATAAGCAGCACTTGGTGGCTGCTGAGCATGCATCCCATTTCAGAACCTGCAATTCTGTCCTTATCCCTATCCTCCCCCTCTCCCTGCACCCTTCCTTCTCTCCTCCTCCCCCTCTCCCTGCTCCCTTCTTCCCTCCTCCCCCCCCCCTATCCCTGCCCTCTTCCCTCCGTCCTCCTCCCTCGTCACAGCATCGGCAGCCTGGGCGACCACGGGGACACAGCATGCGTGGCCAACATAACGGTCACGCGGGTGGTGCTCAAGGCGCTCTCCAACGGGCTGCGCATCAAGACGTACCAGGGCGGGTCGGGCAGCGTGCGCGACGTTGTGTACCGCAATGTCTTCATGGTGGATGTGGAGCGACCCATTGTCATCGACCAGGTGAGGACCGGGGAGGGAATGTGTGGGGATGGAGGGAGAGGAGGGGGTGGGTTCAAGGGTGAGGTGATTGTGGTTAGTTGTGTGTTTGTGGGGGCGTTGTGGGAGGGCAATGGGGGGGGGCGCAGGAGGTGAGGGTGTGTGTATTAGAGTGTGTTGGTGGTGGATTTGGAATGGCCTGTTGTGATCAACCAGCGGAGGTTGGCACACCTGCATGTGCACCTGGTATCCAGCCGGCCCGTTTTTGCACCTCTTTATTCTGCTGCGTACCTGTGCATCCGCTTTATCATGCATTTCCCCCTCTCTACCCCTCCCTCCTCCCACTCTCCCCCTCCACCAGAGCTACTGTGACAAGCGCCATGTGGACGGAAAGTGCGGGGAAGGTTCCTCCAAGGCCGTGGCAGTCTCAGGAGTGTCGTACAGCAAGATAGTGGGCACGACCAATTCCTCCGACCCCATAGGGATTATTCTCAACTGCTCGTCCTCAGTGCCCTGCCGCAGAATCTCCCTTCAAGACATAGACCTGCGCTCCTCCTCGTCGCGCTCGCGCCCGCTCGTGCCGCAAGTGAGCAACGTGTTTGGCGCTGTGAGGAACGTGCGTGCGCCGCTGCTGCTCGCGGGGAAGGTGAAGAACGGGCCCGTGCCCGCACAGGCAGCAGCCATGGCGGAGCAGATGGGCGCCATGTGCAGGTGCGGGGGAGGGGTGGGGCAGGGGGGTCGGGGAGGGTGGTGGGGGATGGGGGTGGAGGATAGGGGGAGGGTGGGAATAAGGGGGAGGCACACCACTTGCGTTCCTTCTTCCCTGTTTTTTACCATTTGAAGCTACTTCGAGAAAGGGGTTGACACGTACATGGGACTTGGGACTGCCTGACTGCCATTGCAGGTGATCATCTCTTGCTTTGTTTGCTTCGCGTCCACCTGCTTCCCACGTATCCATTCCTCCTCCCCACGCCCCTCCCCTCACGGCATTCTTCCCACTACTGCAAACCCCCATGTCCTGCTGCTGCAGCCCGCCCCTCACTCCACTCCTGGTTGAAAGAGAAAAATATTCTGATTGAGACGCTTGGAAACATAGTCTCTTTCACCGAGTGTCAGTCTGCTTCAAGCCTCATTGCAACCCGCCCCTCTCACTTCCGCTGCTTCCCTCACCATCGTGACCGTCCTCCCCTTGACAGACGTGGAGTGTACCGCAAATGAAAAGGCGAAACGGAGGACGAGGAAAAGCTCTGGACGGAGCCTGGAAATTTTCAAAGAGCAAGGGGTATCCACACGCATGAGCGTCTGTCACGCTGCTTGCAATGGAGGAAGCCGCAGCAGCAGCAGCAGCAGCAGCAGCAGCAAATGCAGGAGCATCAGCAGCAGGAGCAAGCGGGGTGGTCGCACGGGCATGTGGTCGCACGCACAGTCATCCCACCTGCTTACTGGGAGTGGCAGCGGCCGCAGCAGCAATGGCACACAATGGTGGAGGTGATGGTGGTAGTGGCGGCGGCTGGAAGGAGAAGCAATGATGCGTTATCCTCACACGAGGAAGGACTGTCCAGCTAGGACCAAACGAGTTTGCAGTGCACAGGCATGTCTCTCTCAATATACAAGCATACAAGCACGCTTGCTGCAGCTGCACTGCTGGAGCAATCGACCAGGAGGTAACCGGCCTAGAAGTAATCAACGAAAGGAAGCCAGCATGGGATGGGCTGCTCTGAACCCTGATCACGCAGGCAAGACAGGGGAGAAGAGAATGGAGCCCGTGGTAATAACGCCAATGGTGGTGGTGGTGGCTCTTACCGAATTAGTCAGTTGCAAACACACATACAACCGTCAGAGCTTTGAGCCTGGGGTATTTCCCAACAGTGTATTATCAGCGGTGCTGTGCTGCAGCAAATGACTTATAGTTGCTGCAAAAAAACGTCTTTTGGGGTCATACACCCCTTGGGACAGGCATGAGCTTGTATTGTAGCCTTGTTGGAAAGGAATGTGCCCATCTGATACTCACTTATTGTACACACAGGAGCATTTGTGCTGCAAAGCAGAAAGAGGTTGTGAGTTACTGTACCATGCGTGCACCCATTGAGGTACCGTATTCTCCCGGACATAACACCCTAGGGTAGATCTAAAAATACAGGGAAAAAAAGGGGGGTGTCTTTTCATAGGAAAAAGCTACATAATTCCCGGGTGCATATAGATGGTATATTTTAGTGTTAGTTTTTTTTTATTAGAGAAGTTGAGTGTTTCCATGGGCTTTTAAACATCACATGTTAAGGCGCGAATGCCAGTTTCGACGCGAACGTCATCAACCCCTCGAAAATGTCATTTGGCACCCCCCTGGCCACATGCAGCGAGCAATTTCAATTGTACTCATGCAGTTAGATTAGCAGGGATACAGGGGTATTGTATGTATATCTAACTGCACGAAGCAGACGCATTCCATTGTACTCCAATACAGGTATATCATTGCGAGAGAATGATAAAGAGAGCAGCTATTAGGCAGGTCTTGGAGGTCAGGACCGTTAGTCATATACGGTAGTAGCGTAGAGGATCATTGTTCAACCTGAGCCCAAGGTAGTGCTGCAATATCAGGCCTGTACAATAGGGAAACCAGATCACACGGTGGAGCATGTGTCAGAGAGCATGTTAGGAATTACCTACTGTGCTTTGCTGGTCAGGAAAGAAATCACTCTGCTTGCTTCTGCAGAACCGGTAGCGCTCCTGCTATTGGCGCTGACTCTGCTGCTGGTGCTATTACTGCAGCTGCCGACGCTGCTGCCGCCGCCGCCGCTGCTGCTGCTACTTCCACTTGTGTCTCTGTCCCATCTACCTGCGCTCTCTACAAGGGCCCTTGGTGCGGAACGCTGATAGCAATCCGCTGTGTCTCACACCGTCGGATGAACGGAGAACTCCGCACAGCTCCCCGCCTCACCAAGCCCCCTGCAATGCCCTCTCTCGCGCTCCATCCCTCTCTCTCCACCTCTCCTGTTCCCCACACCTCCACTTCCTGACCTCGCCCACCATCCGCCCCCGTCTCTCTGCCTATCCCCTGCCCCATTGCCCTCTCCATGCTTCGCAAGCTGGCCAGCCTGCTCCTGCTGCTAATGGTGCTGCTGCCTTGTTCCAAACCCTCTGTCTGACACCGCCGCAATGTTTGCAATTCCTGCCCTCCTGCTCCTGCTCCCTCGCCTACCCCCCCTGACTCCGTGCTCCCCGCGGCTGCTCGCCCAGCTGCTCGCAGCCTTGCAAGTCGCGGCTGTGGGTTCGTGGAGAACCGAGGGGAGAGCAACGCAAGAGTGGAGATAGCCTGGACCGTTTTCCACTTGCCTACGTGGCTAATGCGAGAGTTGCCGCTGTCCGGAGTAGGGGGGAAAGACGAACGGATCCCCTCGACAGACCCAGTGACTCCCTCTGCCTGCACTTCCATCTGCCCACACCCCAGACGTAGACTCTCAACACTCTTCCCACAATCATTATGATGATAACTGCTACTGTCCACACTCTTGAAGCTCCCACCACCCGCACTGCAACTGACAGCAAAGGCAGGAGAAGCAGCCTCTCCGGCATTGCTGGCGCATGCATTTCTCGCGGTCCCACCACGTGCAGTTTCCTGGAACCCAGCCTTGTCCTGCCCTGGGATTGCCAGTGCCTTGTCCCTGAACATGTGTCGCAGTCGCTCAGAGTTCCGCACCGATGTCCCTGCATCTGCTGCTTCTATCACTGCTGCTTCTTCTTCCACCATGACACCTACAGCGCCACCCGCTTCGCCCTGCAAGCTCCTTGGGCTAGAACTATGGTGCTTTGAATCCCAGTGAATGCAAGTCCGGCCGTTAGGGGAGGTCATGCTGCTACTGAAAAGAACCCCCTGCGCAGTGGAGGGCCGCTCGTTAAGGAACTTACTCTTTGGAATAGGTCGGTCGAACGATTCTAGCTGCCGAGCAGCTAGGACATCGTTCCTGCACACATTACTCTTGGATCTTGAAATACTAACCCCGTTAGCGGCACCATTAACCCTACTATGTGAGTGTACACTTGTATTAGTCCGGGTAATGCCTCTGCTGTAGATGTGATTAAATCCTCGCTCTCGGCTGTTCCCGCTATACGAGTGCCGCCTCGTCATATTCTCGCTCTCGGACTGGCTGTCACAGTCAAGGCTGTAGCTGATCGCGCTGCCGCTGGCTTTCGCGCTGACGCTGCTTGTGCCGCTGCGTACCTCGATGCTCCGCATGCTCTGGCTGCTGTTGCTACTGCTGCTGCAGCTACTGCCGCTGCCCTGCGTGCTCATACCCGCGGAGCTGCCAGCTTGACTAGCAATTTCTCGCGGAACGTGACTCCCGGATGACACGCCGGCGGGATCCATGGCGTCGCTGCTCCCCCTTCCGCAGGGCTCTTTTCCCCTTCCTTTATTTAAAGTCCCCGCGTGTGCCTCCTCAACGACAGCCTTCCCCACTTGCCCGCTCGTGCTTATCTCCATCTCATATCCGCCGCAATCGCCCCCCTGCGTCGCCTCCTCCGCCCACCTGCCGCGGCCTTGTGCGAACGAATCGCTTTCCGGACTGTCATCCCTCGGGGACTCGGTGGGAGCGGCATTAGGACTAACAGGCTGTGGCGTCATTAGGTTTCGTGAGTGCGCCGCCGGCGCAGGGCTCTTTGGAAGACCTTGCGGACGGGATGGCGCGACGCGTCTGCCACTACCAGTAGCGGCACTACTACTGCTTCCAATCCCCGGGGAGCGAGGCGGAACCACGCTGACGTCCTCGAGCGATGCTGAGCTGGCAGTGGAGGAGGGAGAGTAGTACCGCGACATGGCGGAGCTCACGATAGCACGGGGGGAGGGAAGGGGGAGGTCCAGACGCCCCAGCCTCGCGCTGAACGCGCGCGCCTGCCTGCTCATGCTTCTTCCGCTCGCACCAGCCCGACTGATGCTGCTCCGCGCGCTCCCGCCCGCGAAGGTCGATTGGCTTATGCTGCGCTGGCTTCTCGCTGCGCTGCTCTCCCTCCCCAGCCGGCCCGCGAGGAGATTCCACTGCGTCCGCGTGCGCCTAAGATGCGTGTAATCCTCGTCTACGGACATTGGCTCCGCGTCACGCGACGGCGCATTTCCGCAAGATGATGCGCTGCGCGAAACCGTCTCGCGCGCCAAGCTGTCGACGTTCTCAATGTCCGTATCATCCCTGTTACTGCAGCCACCGTCAAGCGAACCCGCGGAATCAGATTCCGCGACGGAAGCGAGCTGACAAGCGTTGGGGCGACTTCTGGGGGTCGGCATATTATCGAGGAGTGAATTTCGGCTGTTACGGCGACTCCCGCCGCGAAGGGCGGCGCTCGCAACGAGTCCCCACACTGCCGCGTTGTCTTCGGTATTCTTGCTGTGCTTCTCCCACGCGCTGACGGTGCGCGCCGCAAGCTGCGCTCGGCGCTGCAACGCGGGGCGGCGGAGGATCGGCGCGCAAAGGAGCTTCCATGTGCGGTACGACTCCACCACCACGTCGTGCGCCTTCCAGGAATCTTCGAGCCACGAGGCCTCGGGCGCGTAGCTCGCGGGGATTCCGTGCGCGGAAATGTCTTTTGTAAGCAACGTAGACTTCACTTCTGCTGTTGAATCGGCCCGAAGGGGGAAACAGAGGAGACGAGAAGATACTACTAAGCAGTGGACATCTTTAACGGATTGGTGCAGAAGAACGACGTGCGAAATTCGGACACGCGACTTCTCCGTGCTACTAGCAGGTGCGATTGCTTACCCGCGAGAGTTGGCGAAGGGCTTGCGAAGCTCGTCGCCTCCACCCATTCCCGGACCTTGGGCAGAACCTTCGCTGCCACGGAATCAACCTGATTCGC